CCACACACACACACACACACACACACACACACACACACACACACACTGGTGGGAAGGTGTGAAGCCTGCCGCGGAGAGTTGCCTCCACTTTCTGAAGAGCAAATACAAAGTGTAGGAACACTCTTCAGCTCACCACCTGGGAGTGCGTGTCCTGGGGGTCTGAAAGAAGAGAAAGTTCCCTCCAAATCCTCCAAATTGAGAAAAGCTGCGAAAGGAATGAGGCGGTTAGAGAGAGAGGACCACAGGCATCCCCGTAGCTGGATCTCAGGACTGAGCGCTAAAATGAAAGCACCCCCATAGAATCCACTAGAGGAAACTTTAAAAAAAAAAATAGAACCCCTGAACCCTTGGGCAGTCTGTTACTTCCACGCTGTTTGTCAAATCCACTTTGAAGCAGTTAAATACTCAAAGATATTAAAAACTTAGGTCTCCATTCCATGCTGACTTTTTAACCTTTGCGAATTTGAAATTGGAATGAAAGGGCGGGGGGGAAGATCTGCTGCCCCTAAATTCTGTTTTAATAAAGGAACGAAAAATTCCAACTACCTAGGCATAAATAAAATAGAAGTAATTGTATCTTAAAATAATATCTCGTAGCTTCTGCCTGGCTCAATCTTTATTAATCTTTTGATAGTTCTTAGTTTTCTCTTATATTTATCCACTTCCCCGCACGACTGAGATTATTTTAATTTTCCTTTGGGACCTTCACACCCCTAACCATCTTTTTGAGGAACACTTTTTAATTGTAGAGCTTAGTTGGCTTAAAAGATCTGTGCCCATCAACGGGTGAACTTGCTGGGGGCTAACGCCAAATCCCTTCTAGCGACTCGTCTGGGACGAAGGGCGTTTTGCTCAGTGTTGCTCACGCCGATCTCATCTGGAAAGAGACTGTTTAAAATAAGTGTGTGTCATTCCCTTTCTGTCACTTGCTCACCCAACTTCCAGAGTAGCTGAAGTGCGTTCTGCAATTACATTCACACAGGACCAAACCTCTAGAAGAACCTGAAAAAATATATCACTATACTTCAAAGTCATTAAGTCTCCTGGCGACTGTACAATAACTCTTTTTTTTTCTGGGAATGAAGATGAACATGCTCTGAGAAGCTAAAATAGTATTTTCCTAAATTAAAAAAATCATTGTTCTTCACCTATTCCAGATGGATTCTTTATTGTTTGCCAATGGGTTGCAGATGCCCACCCCTTTAAGCAAGTTGGTTAACTACTTATGAAATATACATTGGCTGGGTAAAGCTTAAATATTGGAAGAAATTTCTCCTGGGACATTCCACATGTCTTCGTAGTAATTATGAAATTAGTCAATTGTCACCTCTATAAACAATCTTCGTTTTGAAAACAGGCAAAAGCAGACAACACATGTAGTCATAGTGGACTAAAAGTATGCTCAGCTTTGTATTTTAAGTTGGGGGAAGTGTGACATATGCTGGAGAATACAACCTAGAACTGATTGATTTTACCCTACGAAGAAAATGGTTATGTTAAACGTGTGGAAATTAACTCGGCAAGTGCTCCAAGTAAAACTACAAAATGCCGAGTCTTAGCAAGGCAGAGAACCAGTTGTTTAGTTTCTAGCAATATAAGGAAAAGTGGCACCGAGAAAGAAGAGGGTGGGCGCTGTGTTTTGAACTGAGTCACCTTCAGCTCTGTCTCTGTAACAGGGAAACCTCCAGCAAACCTGTGCCTTTAAGATTCAGTTGCTATCCAAACACAAGTAAACAGAGTAGACGATTAGCGGGCGCCGGGCGCGGGGGCGGAGCCAGGGTGCAGCGAGCCCCGCGCGGCGCGAGGACGCCCGCCCGAAGGGGAGGCGGGGCCGCTACTAAAGGCCCGGACTCCCGGCCGCGAGCAGCCAGGGGAGGGACGCGGGCGGGGACAGAGCTCCAGCGCTTGCCGTTGGAGGGTGATGGCCCTGCGAGGCTGCAGGCTCCGACTTCACCCGAAGTCGGCAGCAGGAGGCTCGCGGAGGTGCCGGATTCCGGGAGGGCGCTGAGCGCGGGCTCCAAGCGCCCCGGGTATTTACACATTCCGCGTCCACAGACTCGGACGAAGGCGAGGATCTGCTCTGGTTTTTGCTGCTCGTCGTGCTCCAGATCATGTCCGCGACTCCCGGCACTCAGCGCAGAAAAAGAAGTTTGCCCGGCGCGGACTCAGTGACCTTTCTGAGCTGGGCGCCTCACTGCCTCGACCAGGTCTGAGCGGCGCTGCCTAAGCGGACCTTGCTGCGGGAGGTGAGTGTCTGCTCTGAGACGTGGTTGCAGCTGCCGTTAGGAAGAAAGGGTGCAAGGGGGTGCCGGGGGCGCTCAGATTCTTGGTCCGGCATGCCACAAGTTCAGAAATTGTAAAAAGAAATCATATGGATGTAAGCACCGGGCATTGTATTCTCACTCTATCAATCTCAGGCACGCCACTTCCAGTTTATACCTCAAAACACACACTTTTACGTACTGTTTTTAGTTTTGTTTTGAGAAATTTAAACCCAACATTCAGCAAGGCTTCTTATAAAAGCGGATCGACGTACGCTAAGATAAAAAAAAAAACCCATAACCCCACGGTGTTTCTGACGCTGCCATAGTATTCGTGGTCCACCCGTCAGGGAGCAGCCGCACTTGGGTCAGGACACACAGTGCATGCCTAGGCAGCGCGTTTCAAGGGAAGTAACAGTCCAGTCCTAGGTAATTCTCCAACCTTATACAGGTCTTCTGATTATCCCCTCGCCCTGCAGTCCTGGAGGAGGGGACTGAAGGCAAGTTTCCCCCTGGATTTAAATGCTTAGACCTTCGAGAAATGGCTCCAGAGAAAGGAGCTGCATTCGTAGGAAGGAGAGAGAAAAAGGTGTTTGCGGAGGGAGCGCTGGATCTGTCTCGCTACCTGTTAGCAGAGAACAAAGGAGGCTGGTTTCCCAGAGCGAAAAGGCGCAGACAGCTACTTTTTTGCTAAACAAACTGCAATCCAGAGCAGATCAAGAAAATTACTCACGCAGGGGGAGGGAGGGAGCAGAGAGAAACAGAACCCAGATTATGCGGAAGGCATCTTAATTTAATTAACTCCTTGGGAAGGCAGAGGCGCTGTGAAGGGGCAGGAACTTCGCGGCCGTTTTCCTCTGTTCACCTGACCGAGTCTGGCCATTTTAATTTTATTTTTTAAAAATGATCTCCGTGGACTACAGTGTTCTAATTTATGTAAAATTCTATTGTTGTTTCGGCTGTAATTCAGTGAGCCTGTTGATCCGTCAGTCATTTCTCTCCCACCAACGCACAAGTTTTAGCCGATGGCCCCTGATGTGCAGTATATTATTTTTAGGTAATTCAGAGTAATAACACCATTCGCAAACAGCGAGACTCCTTATCAAATTACCACGTACACTTTTTTCTCCAATGTTTTGAAAGCTTCACTGAGCTGAAATTAGTATGTACACATCTCACTTTTGACAGCAAGTGAGCTAAATTGTAGAAAACTTATGTACATGCCTGGAAATTCCTGTGAAGAAGACTGATGAAAGAAAACTAGTCTCAGCTTCACCAAAATATTTGTCTTTTCATTGGGTTGTTTCTTTACTTGAAAAATTGTAAGTAACCAGTGGTCCAAAACAGGATGGTAAAGAAATGACAAAAGATGATATTCGCTGTTATTGCCTGAAACAGTGTGGGAACCACATTCTCCACTCTAGACAAAACGAAAGTACTTTATATCTCTGCATTGACTTCAGATATCTTTTGAACATATATTTCCAGCAACACAGGAAATCTAAACTTCTTAATCATTTAAGGCAAACGTGTTTAGTGGCTATATAGGGTTGTTCTGCTTGTAAAGGGTTTCAGAAGTCCCCAATGGTTTGCTCTTCCTCTATGAAGAAACTGTCAGTCCTGCAAATTAAACTCCCACTACAAAATAGCACTTTTGAGATACTTTGAAGCTGAATTACAATAGGGTCGTTAATTTTTGTGTTATGAACCATTTGGAGGAAAGAGAAGGAAGATGGCACTCAAATTTCTGCTGTCATAATTAACATGAAACTTTTATGGCAGAGTTCTTTTCTGTGCATTTTGAATGGAAATCATAAGTCACATGTCCTTCAATCGACAACCTCCTGTCCTACACACTTTGATATACTTTGCCTCTTCTATTTATTTCTAAGAAATCTAGTCTGGGGATGTACCCATGTAATAATTTTGGTTTCCTGTATGGAAGCAGAAGTTTTTAATACTAGGGGGAAAATAATATTTTGAACCTTTGGAAAATCCTCATTATGCAGAAAGAAGGAAATAAAGGTGTACTTTTTTAAATGGAAAAAGTAATCATCAGAAAGATAACCAGGGATGTTAGTAAAATCCTTTTTTTGTACCTCTCTAGGAGAGAGCTTGATGATTGCCACTGAACAAAAATGTATTGTGATTGGTGGTGGGAAAGTTTGTTACTAATGGAAGTTTACAGTTTTGGTTGAGTGGTCTGACTGAGACCCTCTGACTGTTACACACCTCTCAGTAACTCCAGGCCTAAACTCCCAGACTGCATACCACCAGGCAGAAGAGGTTCATTAATAAATCCCTGTCTGTGAGCAGTCCAAAAGGAGGAGAACAAGAAGGCGTGGGCTTCACTGAGGCAGCCAGAATCTGCCTTGCCAGAGCTCTGGGTCATTAGTGCAACCCCATAAGTCTGCCCTCAGATAGGGCCGCGGGCAACACTTCACAGAACACTGGAGAAGAAAATTCAGGCGCTGAAACGAGTGGGTGAAGAGGGAAGGCTGGACAAACTTTCCCACCTTCCTATTGGGTTCAAAAGCCAAGCTTAAAAGTTGATGGTTCACACGGGCCTGCCTGCCCCTCTCCAGGGAAAGGCGCTTAGTTGAGGGTGCACCTGGGGAGCCACCCTCAG